GAGATTTAGTTAAGAATTGTGGGTTGATATTCTGCCATTTATGAGTATAATTAAATAAATTAGATTTGAATGGATGCTAGGAAGTGTACGAGTAAAGAAAGTGTGCTGCGGTGGCGTGCCGGAGGAGGTAAAGGGTAATTGGTGAGTGGAATTAGCTAGATACGGGCCCGAATCAATAGCGATGTAGCGTCCCACTATTGTGAGGTGAGTAGGGGGTGCTGATTTTAAAATCTTCATATTATATATTGATTTACGTTAATAAACATGATTGGTTTTCTTAAAAGCATTTATGGATAACATGAGCTGTTAGCCTTGATAGGCTATTTTGAATGGATTTACAATGATTTATATATTGCTATTGTGGAAAGCACGAGCTAGTAGAAACCATAGGAAGTTTGTGAATGCAAGTCTTTTTAAAGTGATTTGGATATACCTATAGATAAGCTATACAAGTAAAGAGTTTTAAAAACCAGGAAACAAGCCTTTCGCAATGTTTGTTCAAAATCTGTGCCTTGTATACTTTTGTATGATATGCATAGCTAATGCATTTGTTAAACGATTTTGAATGCAAGATTTGAGCTTCCGTTTTAGCCCGATTTGTATATAAATATTTACACCATTCCATTTAGTTTGAAAAGTAATTTCAAAAGGGTTATCAAACCTTGATTTGAAAGGATTTAAAAGGAAAAGCCTTGTAAAACCCGATTTTTTTTAAAAAAATGGTTTTGATAAACAAAGGGTGTCGAGAGTAGGCCAGCTATCACTACAGTTAAGTGTGACTCTTATGCACAAGTGAGCTCTAGCTAGATAACTTTTGGGTCACCGACGGGCTGTTAGACGTGGCTGGGTCCATAGTCTGTGATTACGTGGCAAGGCTGCGCGTTGTATATGTGGCTAGGCCACAAGTGATATTTGCGGTTGTGACCGCTTGATTTCTCTGATGTTGGCCAATATCGTTAGACTGCCATGGCTATGGGGATTCGGTGGAGCAGAGCTCTCAGATGTTATTACGTGGAAATGGGTCCATGGGTGATTACTATACTTACCCACTCAAGAGCGTTATGAGTTTTCGATGCATACTCTTTTGCATGGTTGATATTTAAGATTTCTTTGCAGCTCCCTTAGTTTGAATAAAAGCTTTTAGTGCTTACTTGATGAACATGAGATGTTTTACGTGGCCGTAGACTTGATTTCTTTACATGCCACATAATTTGGGGGCATGCATACTTTATATTGCTGACTATATTTGTATGGCCAACAATGTTTTCAATGTTTGAACTTGGTTTCGTAAGATTGTTTCTGCATAATTTTGCCCAGTGAAAATATTATTATGATTTACGTCATTATTTTTCAAGGCATAAATATCTTACTTATGATTTGGTATTTTAACACTATGATTTGATATTCCGGTTTTATTATTCAACTTATTTGCATTATGCTTGTTTTCCATCTACACCCTACTCACGGAACCACTGATCACTGAGTCTATGAGACTAACCCCCCCATTATTTTCCTTTTGCAGATAGTGATTAGCCTGGCGTGCATTCATCAGCATTTTCAGCCCACTGCGGATAGGTCAAGGCATGTCATAGCACTTTCTTTCGAGTCACTCCGCTGCTAGAGGTCGAGTCTTCATAGAGTAATTTGTTACGGGATTAGACAATAGTGTTAGATTAAATGTACATTTGAAAATTATAAGTCTTGATGTATCATTATTACAATTATGTGGAATAAAGGTTTATTCAATTTATAAAGAATATTGTTCAATTCCTATCACAAATAGTTTTATGGTACAAGGAAATTTTCTTAGATTGATGGTATGAATGTGAGGTAATGACTAACAATTTAAGTAAGGCTTGCTCAAGACTTGCAGGGTTCTCCCGCAAGACTCGGATGCCGGTAGCGATCGAGGAGTGGTCGTTACATTCTCGTATGCTGAGCGTACACCTATGTGTGCTTTAGTACTTTGTCCATGGCTTGGATCCTCTTTGTCTACATGATATGGGTTTAGCATACTTACATGGAAGAGTGGATGAACTTTTGGCTTGGGTGGCATATCAAGTTTGTATGCCATGAGACCAATGCATTTGGTCACTTTGTAAGGCCCTTTGTATCGTCTCAGTAGTCCCTTTTGGACTCTTTTGTCCTTGAGTATTACGTGTAGTTTGACGAGTATCAAGTTGCCAACATCAAAACTAACTTCTCTTTGAGACTAATCAGCCCATTTCTTGGTGCGAATGGTGGCCTTAAGTAAGCATGCATGAGCAAGATTAAGTTGCTCTTGCCATTGGCTTGTGTGCTTGTACACTACAGGTGATTCACTCGTGTATTTGGCAGCAGTGTGACTTGGCATAATAGGCTACTATCTAGTTACTATCTCAAATGGACTTTTTCCCTGTTGTCTCACTACAATATAGGTTATGAGAAAACTAAGCAATATCTAGCCACTTCGGCTAGTCAGTTTAGGTGTCTCGAATAAAGTGTTGTAAGTGAATCTCTTGCACAGCATTAACCCTTTCGGTCTGACCATCTAACTGTGGATGAAAACTAGTCGAGAAATTGAGTTGTGATCTCATCATCTTGAACAACTCAGACCAAAACTCACCTATGAAGCGTGCATCTCTATTGCTCATTACGCTTAACGAAACCCCTTAGCATTTGACAACATTTTTCCATGAAGAGTTTAGCTACCTCTATTGCTAAACACTCTAGACTTGTGGTGTTGAATGTTGTGTATTTTGAGAAATGGTCCACAATGACCTTGATGCTTCCCAATCCATTCACCTTAGAACTCCCATGATGAAGTCCATGCTCAAACTTTCCCATGGTCGATTTGGAATCGACAGTGGTTGTAGTAATCTTGTGGATCTCCTTTATTCTAACTTGTCTTACTGATAGATGAGACATGTTATACATATGTCTCCACATCTTCGCATAGTTGTGGCCAGTAGTACCACTGTTCTACTAGTGCCAGTATCCAATGCATTCATGGATGTTTGCCCCAAGTCAAGTCTTGACACTCATTGAATATCTCACTTTGAAGCTTGCATAGGATGGCACATAAAGTTTTGGGCCCATAGTGTATGACAGCCCGTCTTGAACCCAAAACCTTTACGTTTGACCTTATTTGGCATAGTCCATCAATGTTTATGCTATCGTGGCATGTGATAGCCTTCTTTGATGTGCGAAACAAGAGCTCCATGAGCCTCGCTCATAACCGCTAGTGTGGCCTTGCCACTAAGTGCGTTTGCCATTGAGTTGGTCTTCCTTGACCTATACTCAAGTCAATAATTGAATTCGATTAAGAAATCTTGCCACCATGCTTGTTTAGGACTTAGTTTCTTCTAGTAATGAAAATAAGATGTGGCTACGTTTTCTGTCATTACCACAAAAGTTGCTTTGAGAAGATAATGTCTCCATATTCGAAGACCATGTATTATGACAGTTATCTCTTTCTATTGAACTATGTACCTCTTCTCTATGTTGTTGAGCTTATGGCTTTCGTAAACCACAGGATGTCTTTCTTGCATTAACACTCCTCCTATTGGAAAGTCTGAAATGTCTATGTGCACCTCTAATGATTTGGTGTGGTCCAACAAGGCTAAGATTGGTTCTACACACATTGCTTGCTTTAGGGTATCGAAGGCTTGTTAACTTCGTGTGCTCCACTTCTTAGTAATTTTTTTTAGCATGTTAGTGAGTGGTGCGACAATTACAGAGTAACCTCTGACAAGTCTTTTATAGTAGTTTGCAAGGCCTAGGAATGATCTCAATTCCGTTACCTTTGTGGGTGGTTCCCAGTTTAGGGTGGCCTTCACTTTGCTTGGATTCATTCATAAAGTTCCACCTCCAGAGATGCATCCTAAGAAAGGGATTTCTTGCATCCTAAAGGAGCACTTCTCCTTTTTGACATAAAGCTCATGCTTTCTTAGCTTTTCCATTATGAGTCTAATATGTTGCACATGTTCCTCTAGCATTTTGGGGTAGATAACAATATCATCTAAGTAAACAAGCACAAACTTATTGGGGGAAGTTTGAAGTACCCTGTTCATTAGGGCGCAAAACGTTGCTGGTGCATAGGTTACACTGAATGGCATGACGAGGAATTCATACGATCTATAATGTGTCACACATGTTGTCTTTAGTATGTCTTTTTTTACGATGCACACCTAGGAATATCCAGATCACAGGTCTAGCTTGGTGAACCACTTGGCTCCACCTAATTGATCAAACAAGTCCATGATGAGTGGGATCGAATACTTGTTCTTGGCTGTGAGCTTGTTCAATGCTCGATAATTGATGCATGAACGTAGGGTTCCATCATGTTTTCGTTGGAATAGAACAAGGCACCATACGATGACTTAGATGGCTTAATGAACCTGGTACCAAGGAGTTAACCTGGCTACTTCTTGAGTTCGGTGAGCTCAGGTGGCAACATGTGATATGAAGCTTGTGCTGGTGGGTGTCTGTCGAGCACTAAATCTATGTGATGGTCGATTTCCTTTTGTAGTGGTAGTCTGTTCAGCAGACTAGCAAGCATCACATCCCCAAAAGTTTCTAACATCTTCAATACCTCTATTGGTTCCTTCTTGTGTTCAGTTACCTGGTTATCTTCCTTGAGAATGGTGGCAAAAGTTTCCCCCTGGAACTTTGCCTTTTTGCCAGTTGCATGGAAAAAAGTAGTTTTGACTCAGTCCCACATCCACACCGTATTGGTACTACACATTGAATCCTTGAGTCAAGTATGATGATACAATCGGTAAACAATATGAGCAATGCATTAATTGGATATAGGAATCCCATACCTAAGACACATTCATAATTGCCCATAGGGATTATCTCAACAAGCTTTTTTCCTTACGAAGCACCTAATTGTACCTCTATTTTTTTACCCCCAAAGTTGGAACTCTCTTCGAGTTAAGTGTCTTGATGAAGACTACTCCTATGTCAGGTTTGACTTTTAATTGTTTGGTAGCGTCATCTGACAAGAACAAGTCTGAGGCTCTAGTATCAACTTATGCCTCTACCTGTCAGTTAAAATTCTACTACACAAGTATACGTATCGAATAGATAGTATATTAACAAGCAAAGTATCGATCCCATAGGGAATTGATCTAAAATTTTATTAAGTACTAAAATTAAAACAATTTAGTTTTATTCAAACAATTAAAATCTTAATTCTAATTGAACTAAAAATTACGCAACTAAAACGAATTTGATTACAAATTAAAGCAATAAGATAATTGGGCAAACAGCAAATCAAACAAGCCTAGGATTACAATATCCCTCACACTTCATCTAAATCTTACCTCTCTTTCTTAACTTATTTCAATGGGTTGAATTGCTAACCTAGAGTCTTAAATTATTTATAAGGGTCTCCCGACTCATCTTATAAAAATATCTATTTTAACTAAAATACTATATCCCTATGTGAATTGAAACTAAAATAGACTCATTCAGTTCAGGCTCTAATCTGGCTACATATGGCCTATAGGTATATCCCTATCTTATAGGTAAATCAATTAATATGATCATATGCTATCCCAATTTTAGTCTACACTAAACTCCCTTTCCCAAGTTTGTTTAGGTTTCTATATCAATTTAATTGGTGGCCAAGCAATTAAAAGCATTAAGAACAAATTGGAATAAACAATTTAAATCCCATTGAAAATAAGCAAGAAAGAGATTAAAACTTAGATTACATGTGAGTTCATTGCAATCCTAGAAAATAATTTAGTTCATAGTATCTAATAAAAACAATATCCAAAGAAATTTACCCATGAATCCAAGTCAAAGAAAATAAGAAAAACACAAAGGTAAGAGAGAAAACTAATAGTTAGAGATTTGTGATCTTGATTCTCTCTCCAATTCTCTTGTTTCCTTGCTTTGTTCTTAGCTCCAAATCTCCAGAATAGTTGCTTGCTGCCTCCCTCCAAAATCTCTGAAAAAGGCTCCTTAAATAGGCTTCAAATAACCTAATTTTCGAAATCCCGTTAACTTCCCTTATTTTTAGGAAAGTCGCGCAGTGCTGCGGCGCTAATTCTCCAGCGCTGCAGCGCTAATTCTCTGGAATTTTGTATGTGTGCATCCTTTCATCAACGCTGCAGCCTTGTTCTCCCAGTGCTGTGGTAGTCTATCAACTTCAAACGTGAGTTTCACCCTGATATGTTAGGAACTGGGGAAAGTAGTAAACATAAAAGTTTTATCCCTGTCTCTTAACTTTCCAATGGATTAAGAATCACATCAATTGGACTTCTAGATTGAAAGATTTGCTCCCAATACCGCATCATGTTCAGTCTTTACATACTGCTGCAGTGGTCCGACTTTGACAAATATTTTGACCATGATCCAATCAGAATTGGGCAAATTGGTGAACATAAACATTATATCCCTTCTTCTTATAATTCGATTGGTCTAAGAATCACCTCATTTGGAGTTTTTTAGAAAGAGATATGGTCAAAATACTGAAACATATACGAATGAAGCTATCACCATACTTGCACTGATTTTCATCAAATGAGCCTTTTCATCAATTTCCTACAAAAGCTATAAGAGAAATTAGCAATAACTACTCTTAAAGTAATTTAAAATAAAATAACTTAAAATTAACTAAAATAACTTAAATTGATCACTTAACAAGTATCAAACTTATAAAAAAACACCTAAAATGCTAAAATTTCGAACCTAAAATCTCAAAGATCTAAGCTACTTAAGCTCCCAAAATGAGTCAAAATAACTCTATATAATAGAGTTATCACTACCTTCTGTCCATTAATCTCAATGTCGATAAACATGAGACCTCATTTTTGAGTGAATCTCTTTTGTTGAATTGCACCAAAGACTATTGATCCTAGCTTCGTTGCTTCTGGATCGTGTTCATCTTCCTTATGAGCGATGGCCACAAGTTTGGCTTTCTGTGGACATTCATGGACCCTTCGGAATACTATTCCCTCTCTCTAGTGCTCTTGCCCTTCTCTTGGGCCATGGTAGGATTAAAGGATTTATTGTCATACTTTTGTAGCTCCACTAGAGATTTAGCAGCACTCATGGCCTTGGTAATGTTCTTCACATTTCACCTCTAAAGTTCGAGTTTGGCCCATGGTTTGAGTCCATCCATGAATGAGAAACGCACTTCCTTTTCACCAAATTTGTTGATCAGCAACAAAAGTTTAGAAAATTGTTTGACATACTCCCTGATCTCACCATGTTGTGATAGTCTCCTAAGCTTTTCATGGGCTTCGTCATCTGCATACTGAAGATAAAACTATTTTTGAAATTCCTTTTAAAACTCCTCCCAAGTTGTTATGTGAGCTCCCCTGAGCTTAACATGACATTGTCACCTATCGGTCAAATACACGGTAACTGTATTGGCCTTTAGGGCATGGTCCATTATGTCCATAACCTTGAAGTACTACTTGACTCCCTAAAGGAAATTGTCAACTTCCTTGGCCTACCACTTGCCTCAGAATTCCTTGGGTTTTGGTATCTTCAAGGTGGTAGTTGTTGATGTGCTAGGCTAGTCACTTCGCATGACTGCCCTTAGAGATGTGATCTCGTTTCAGAGTTCAACTATCTCTTGCTGTATGGTTAAAATCAACTCCTCTAATGCTTCATCATGATACATTAATGTCTCCACTGCATCGTTTATGCATTCTCGTAACTTAACATCATTTGTCTCCACCTGCTCCATATTGATCTCAATCTCAATGAGTTTGCCTTTTGTTTCACCCATGAACACCTCAAACCTAATGACTCGACTTTTTAGTGCAGACAAAGCATTTTTAGACTTACCTCTCTTAGCGATAACTCTTGTTTCCCTACCTTCTTGATTCACAATAAATTGTTTAAAAGTTGACGCCATCTCTTTCTCTCAATCTTCAAACTGTGTGATACCTAGCTTTAGAAAGTGTTGCTTTGATACCAACTATCACAAGCTTGCAACTTTAGCTAAGTTCTGTGCAATGCTGTAGTCTCGTGTTCGTAAGAGTACACAAGCCTAAATGAGGTTTATTGATGATTGGCACAGAAACGTAAAGTAAATATATATGAAGAAAGAGATTATGGAGAATAAATAAGTATTATTGCTCCAATGAAAGAAAAACAAAGTACCTAAGGTCTAAGCACAAAGTAAATTGCTTGATGAAAAGAAAAGCCTACCTAAGGTGGCTATTTATAACCTCTAGTCTACTTCGGGTGTAAGTAAAATAAAATAAGGAAATATCTAACCTAGGTTTCCTTGGTGTGCAAGTAAAATAAATATATGACTAAGGCAATATTCCCTAGCTTGGTGAGCAAGTTTCTAACCCTAACATCAACTTAAGGAATGCGGCCCCCATGCAACCCATGTGGCTCTTTTCAACTGGATCTACCCTTAGAGCTCCAGTCCAGTAATGGCGCTCCTTGGGGTACACAGTAGTTGTGCATGCCTTGGGGGTGTGCTGTGTGCAACAGGTATGTGCACCTTATGGGTGAGTTTGGGTTAAGGGTTCATTGATGCACGGTTGCCCTAGTAGGGCACCTAATTTTTAGACACTAGGGTTCCCTTGGTGCACAACACATATGCAGGCTTTGCTACTAGCTTGGCCCAATATGCGGGGGCTGCTCGCTAGTGTGATGTATGCAGCCTACTAGGACATGCAGCCACTAGTGCGCAAAAAGCCTGTGAACAGCCTACACATGCATGGCTTTATGCTCCAAACCAACCTGCCAGGCTTGCTGGGGAGCGGTGATGCGGAGCCTCTTCACAACTTGTCTTACTGTGTGAGCACTGGAACCCCATGTCTATTTGCTAGTTCGATGGTTGACTGGGTTGGACTCGCATGTCGTGTCACCTAGCATAATGATGATGGTTATACATTTGATGAGCTTTAAGATGCATATGATAAATTGGTATTTGAATTTGAGCACATGACTTTGATATATAAAAAGGTCATTTGTAAAGTTAAAGCAAAAAATGATGGTATGAATAAAATTAAATCTAAGTTGAAAAATAAAGTAAATAGTATAGCAAATGAAGTGACTGCCTTGAAAAAGAAAAATGACTAATTAAATGAATTATTCTCTAAATGGAATTTGAGCTCACAAAAACTGAATGAGATGCTTGAAACTTAGAAAGCTTTCACTAACAAAAAAGACTTAGGATATGATAGGACATTAAGAAAGACAAAGACAAAGACCTTTTTTGAAAAAGAAAATGAAAAATATGGTGCATCACATTCATGTATTTACTATCATAAGATGGGTCATTCCATATATTTGTTTCCTTTTAGAAAGGCACCCCTCAAAGAAAAGATTGTTAAAAAGGTGTGACTTCTAAAAGGAACCAAACCTTCTGAGGGAAGAATTATTGAAGTTTTTGAAATATCAAGTAAAACCAAACTTGGAAGGACTAATAACATTCTTGGTGCCAAGAAAGCTTGGGCACCAAAATCAAAAGTTTGAGTTTTCTTGTAATAGGGTGAAGCCACAAGCTAGAGGAAAAATCAAGGCAAGAATGAGCAAGAATGCATAGATTGAGATTACAACAATATCAAGTGGTATCTATTCCATAAATAAATTGCCAATGGAAGATGGATTTTTTATTGTTTGAATTCTTTCTGATTGATTGATTAGTGTTGTTTTAATAGCATAAATCATAACTTGAATTTAGTTGATAATTATTCTCGAATTACATTTTGAATAAAAATTAATTATATGAATCTATAATTTGAATGATTGATGTTTTGATTATTTTGTTTGTATAATAGTTGCTGCAATAAGATTTACATATCATTTTATACATATGCATCATTTAAAACCAACAACAACATATACTAAACTTTAATTCTTTTTAAAAGATTCTTTGTATTTGATTTGGATCAAAAACCTTTGCTTTTCGAGATTACTAAGTTCAAGAATCAACCTTTCAATTTTAAAGAATATAATTTTCAAATATAAATTGTTTTCAAAATGCTTCAAGAATTCAAAGTATCAGCTTTTTAAATCTCAAGAATCGATTCTTAAAAAGAACTAGAAAGCTCTTGAAACGTTAGGGTACAAATTCTAGTCATAAAAGAATTAACCTTCGTGTTTTAAAATTAAAAATACATTGGAGCTTTAAAACATGTTTCTAGTCTCCAAAATCATTCAAAAGTTACAATTCTCAAATCTTTTCTCTCTAAATAAGTCATTATCCAAAAGTCAAAAGATTAAAGTATTTTAAAAAGTTCTTCGCTTTCAAATCTTTTTATTCATTTTTCAATCAACCTATTTGCAAATAGAAGTCTTTTAAAGAAGAATTGATTTTGTGCACAAAGAATTAGCACCCTTTTTCAAAGCCTCAATTCTTTACACCAAACTTTTAGAGTAAAATCAACCTTCTGAGGAAATGGCATCGAAGAGGTCAAGAGAAAAGAAGGGTAAAGGTTCTGCCATTCAAACCAAGAAACAAAGGAAAGAGAAAATCAATGCTCTTAATGTACACTTCTTAACTCTAGATGAAGAGAATATGTTTAATGACCATTATATTACAAGAAAGGTATTTCATGGAAGAATTACTAATTTGGATTGGGTAGAAAATGAATTTAGATTTCCTTACATTGAGAATTTAAGAGAAATGGGTTGGTATGACTATCTAAACCCAATAAGAGGAGTTTACAAAAATCTTGTTAGGATGTTCTATCTAAATTGAACTACCAATTATGAAAGTGAGGGTCATGAATATATTGTGAGTCATGACAATTTATTCCTTACTTCACTCATTAGTGGATCATATATAATCACTCCTTCACTAGTTTAGAAGGTATTGAAGCTAAAACCTCTAAGTGGAAATGCATTTTCTTATATAAGAGAAGAAAATACATTCCTAAAAATGAGTTAAATGTTGATTTCTGGGTGAAACCAATTACAGCAGCCAAATTTCTTAACAGTGCATCAAGGCTAAGTCTTCATGACAAAATTTTACACTTCATTATTGTTTACAACATTAGGCCTTTTGGCACGAAGCATGCTATTGTAAAGACTGAGGAAATGTGGTTCATGCACCTCATAAAGAGAAGAACACCCACAAATCTTCCTTAATTCATCTTTAGAGATATGAAATATCTAGTTCGAGGAGCTAGAAACAATTAGGTCTATGGTATGGTTGTATGTGAAATAATTGACATGTTGAGGATCGAAACCAACATTGACAAACCAAAAATGCAAAACAAGATTAAATTCTTGGACAAAAATACTCTTGGAAGAATGGATTATAAACATAATGCTAAACAAAATAGTTGGAAAAAGAAGGATGAAGCTCAAGAAAGAATACAAGTTGAGCAACCGGTACTAGGAACTCCACTTGCTCTAACTACAACTATTACTTCATCAATAGCCACTCCACAAACTACTTAAGTGCCATGCAGTTAACCTGGCACAATGTACATGGGTCAAGGTGCATATCAATTTTTGAGTGCTAGGGTTGAAAATCAAGAAAGGATGGTTTAATAGAATCTTGAGAAAATTGAGGATGCAATCTCAAAGTTTCTTCCTCAGTTTCAAAATGTTTTTTATCATTGTTGCCATTCAATTGAGAAGATACAAGCACCATTGAGAAAACTTAAAGAAGCAATGAAACAGCTAGTTCAAAATCAAACAAACATAGCACACAGTCAAGAGAAGCTAAATGATAAAATGGATATAACAAACCCCATCATAATCCATTACCTTGATAGCTTAGAGTCTGACACTATTTTGATTTTTAAACATTTGCATTACATAACATTTGCATACATTTTGTTTTGTACTAACATGACTGTATTGCAAATGGCATTTTTTATATCATATACTTAATGAAATATCTCTTTTGGTTGTATTTCTCTATGTTGGCTCATGATTGATTGAACTCTCTTGATATAAATGTCTATATGCTTTGCCTTTAAATAATACTTAATCTATACTTTAACTTTTAGTACTGATGATAACTTTGTGGGTTTTATATTCTTATACTCTATTTTTTGTTCCGTTTTGATGTAACAAAAAAAAGGGAGAATATTGTGAGTAAAGTTTCCAAGCTTAACTTCTCTAAATCTCATGGATGGATTTTTCAAAATAATTTCAAAATGCTTTCAAAACTCAAACATAAATCTTTTTGAAAAGAGCATGGATTCAGGAAGAGCTTTCTTTGAGAAAAATGTCTCCAATTATTTTATCCTAGTTTTGACATTTTGAGCATAACTTTAAGGGGAGTTCTTCAATGAGCAAATTTAACTCTTAATTTTGTCATCTCAAAAGGGGAAGATTGTCAACTTTATTCTTGTTTTGAAATGAGAAAATTGATTGAACTAAATATGCTTTGAAAATGAATGAAAGATGTTATAGAATATGAAGAAAATCGTCAAGGATGTTTTGAAGTTGAGCTTAAAATGAAAAATATATTGAAATGGTAAGATTAATTGAACATGCTTTGAAAGTGAATGATAATGCTCTTGAACTTAAAGAAATGTTTTTAAGTTTTACCAAAGATTTCTTGTTTTCAAACTTAGAGTGCTAGCCTAGGAATCGAATACTCAAAATCAAAGATTTGATTCTTAAATGAGAATAAAGCAAAATTTAGGTCTTTATCAAAAGTGAAGAATCGATTTTGAGAGAAGAAGTTAATTCTTGAAGCTACTAGAGTCGTGAAGAACTGACAGCTCAAAGAGCAAGAATCTGTTCTGGGAGAACAAAATGCAAAGGCAAAAATTTGAAGAAGAAAGAATTAATTCTGCAAATAACCAAAGTTGTTTTGAGTGAAGAATGAACCAAAAAGCACAAGTTTGAAGACAAAGAATTGATTCTACATGGAGAAGATATCGGTTCTTGAAAGACCAAAAGCAAGAATTAGAAACTTGGTAACCAAGAAATAGATGGTACGAATGGATAAGATTGGAGCATCAAAAGTCAAGATAAAATTCAAATTTCGAACACAGTTAATACTAAAGAACCGACACCTTAAGGTTGAAGAATTGATTTCCCAAAACTGCAAAGGTGTCACCTTTGAACCAAGTTATAGAAGAATCGACATCCCAAGAAAGAAGAATCGATTCTTCAAAGATAGAAAGCTCTAAACTTTATGAAGAATCGACAACTTATGATCAATGAATTGATTCTTCATGTGTTACAAAAATGTGCAAATTGGGTAGAACATAGGAAAACTAATTGAAATTTCACTCCAAGTAGCAAGAAATTACAAAGAATATAAATATATACTTTGAGGACATTATTTTAGTATAAGCCCTACAAGCCAATTTGTGGTTGTATAGGAATTGCAATTTTAAGCTATTTATGTATGACATTTTGTAATTCATAACAACATTGAGGTAGTTCTTTATCCATAAGTTTGTGATTCAATAACTTTTGTACTTATGTAGATAAAACCCATGGAACTATATATGCCTTGCAAAGGAATTGTATTAGGATACAATTATGAGATCCTTTTGCACTAAAGCATTATTCCTAAAAGTTCTTGATCATTGTATTATTGAGATAGGGCATCAATAATGCTCAAAGATTGGCACATGTTATGTTCCTTACTTGTGAAGTAAGCAATCATTTTCATAGGTTGAAGTATAGAGATACTTGGAACTAGCATGTGGGTGCTTGCCATGGGAAAGCGAGTTGACTGAACATGACCCACCATGAGAAGTGCATTTGGTAGCTCACTCAAGTGTCTATGCAATACTTCTCATGTGTCAGTTGTGTAACTACTCCCTACACTTGAGACACCAAGTTGTTTTGTATGTGGAGTACTATGCTTTGATTTTATCCTTATGGGTGCCTAACCAAGGATGCCAAAACAAGATGTTGTTGGGTATAGTATAAAGCATATGAA